AAATAAACCAATATGATAAAATAATAAGAACAATTCAAGCTTCAAACTACAACGTTCATGTAGCACCCAAAACTCTAGAACTAATAAACTATGAAATTAAAGGAAAAGAAGAGAAGAAAAACTAGTTAGAAGCCTCCTCCAAGCGTGGTGTGTGTTCCCCCACGTGAATTCTCCTCCAAAGTATGTTAGTTCTCTCTAAAGTGGCGTCCTCCCCTCAAAAAATATGTTTAGTCTTGCTTTTATACGTGTTGGGTAGGTCTAGGGCCGAAATAACCTTGTCCCGAGCAAAGTTGGACAAAATTCGCGTCACTGACGGAGCCCCACAATTTTGAGCTACTGTTTTTGGCACCACAGGTAGGGCTGGGCGCCACCTGTGGCGCCCAAATTCGCACATTGCCCAGTTTCGTTCGTTTTGGCTCAAATCTCGCGCATTTCGCCCCCAATTGCTCTGGAATCATTCCTACACATAAAAACACTTCAAATTAATATAAATATGATGACCCAAAGGGTCATCACCTGTTTTCTCACTCATTCCGTGTCTCTGAGGCCTTGAAAACCTCATTTTTGATTGCCTCGATTTGCGTGCGTAGTCCGGGCGCGTAGCTGGAAAGCTTAAATATGAATTCTGTGTGAAAAATGTTGAATTTTGATATTAATATGATTAAAGTTGACCTTGGTCAACATTTTGGGTAAACGGACCCGGACCCGTGATTTGACGGTCCCGGAGGGTCCGTAGAAAAATATGGGACTCGGGCATATGCCCGGAGTCAAATTCCGAGGTCCCAAGTCCGAGAAACGAATTGTTGTGTGAAATTGTTTTTTGAAAATTATTAAAGAATTGGAAGGTGTTATTTGTTTAGAAGACTGTGCTGTTGGGCTCGTACTTTGGTTCCGACGCCCGGCACAAGTCTTAAATATGATTTAAGCAATTGCTGTAAAGTTTGGTTAAATTTGGACGTCATTTGACGTGTTGTGAGCTAGGAAATATAAACTTGATGTTCTATGGAAATTGGAAGGAAATCATGGGTATTGAGGCCCAATTTGATGATTCATGATGTTAATTGGGCGATTTGATCGCACGAGTGAGTCCGGAGTATGTTTTTGAGATTTTATGTATGTTCGGTTTGGAGCCCCGAGGGCTCGGGTGAGTTTTGAGTAGGTCCCGGGAGGTCTTAGACTTAAAAGTATCAGGTGTTGCAGGTCCAGGTGTTGCAGGCCCCCAGCGCGGCCGCGGTCATTTCCGCGCGGTCCGCGCTGGTAGCCGCGCGGCCGCGGTGCACTTTTGCACGGTCCGCGTGGCTGGGTTCAGAGGGCCAATGACTCCCAATTCGACCAGCGCGACCGCGTGCCATATCAGCGCGGTCCGCGCTGGAAGATTCAGAGAGGGGCCTTGGGATTTCATTCAACCAGTGCGGCCGCGCACCAAATCAGTGCGGTCCGCGCTGGGTAGGTTCAGAGAGTGGTTTCCCCACCCTTCCTCGGCGCGGCCCGGGGGCATTTTTGTGCGGTCCGCGCCGGGTCTTCAGTACAGTATATAAAGTCGGGATTTTCAGTCGTTTTTCACTTTTTCAAAACCCAAAACATAAGAGGCGATTTTCCAAACGATTCTACTTCTTCAAAACGATTGGTAAGTGATTTCTAACTGATTTTCTATACTCCTTAACATCCTTAAACATAATTTCAACTTCAAACCAAGGATTTTAATGGGGGAATTTGGGAATTTAGGGTAGAACTAGGGTTCCTAAATTTGGGAGTTTTGGACCTCAATTTGAGGTCCGATTCCAAAATAACTTATATATCTGATTCATGGGGGAATGGGTAATCGGTTTTGGTTCGAACCTCGGGTTTTGACCACGTGGGCCCGGGGGCATTTTGGGAATTTTTGAACAAACTTTGGGAAATTTCATTTTCATGCATTCAAATTGATTCAAGTAATTTGTGATTAGATTCGAGCGGTTTGGTGGAGAATTCGAGGGGTAAAGCTATACTAGAGGATTGAGTTGAGTTTGGAGCATTCGAGGTAAGTGTTTGATCTAACTTTGGCTTGAAGGAATAGGATTAGAGTGTTATTATTGCTAATTGCTAAATGATCGAGTACGGTGTATAGCATTGGTGACGAGTATCTATTCACCGGTGTCTAGCAGACCGTGGGTCCTTGTTTGTACTTATTCTGATGTTGTTATGACTCTTCCATGTTAATTGATGAATTCTATGCAATGTGGAGAGTATGAGGATTAATTATGAATTGTAAATTCTTTGGAGTGTTGGCTCGAACGACAAAAAGACTATTGAGTAAGAAATGAAAGGAATAGAAAGAGATATGATTAATCCCTTGCCGGGATGGTTTGAATATATGGATTATCTCCCTTGCCGAAATAGAAAGTATTGTTGTTGCTCCCTTGCCGGGATTTAGCTGTTAGTTGTGTAATTTCCTTGCCGGGACATTTCTTATTATTTGTTTATCCCCTCGCCCCGTTTGGTTGTGATTACTGGTTGGGTGAGGAAGAGTGATAATGCACGAAGGGTCATTCCGTGCCATGTTTTGATTATATTTGCCCGAAGGGTCATTCCGTGCCATGTTTTGATTATATTCGCACGAAGGGTCATTCCGTGCCATGTTTTGATTATTTATGCACGAAGGACATTCCGTGCTCTGATTTGATACTAATTGCACGAAGGATCATTCCGTGCCATGATATGAGAGTTACGTGAGGGAAAGCACGAAGGGTGATGCCGTGCACTTTATTTGATTGCTTTTGGTGAGGATGAGAGTAAAAGCACGAAGGTTGATGCCGTGCAACTGTTGAATTTCCTGCTCTCATTAATTATTGTTATTGCCCTGTTTCTTATTTAAATTGTTGACTTCATATCCGGACTGTACTCCCCCATAGTATGCTTCCCTCCCTCTTAACTGTTTAATTTCTTTGTTCTTTCCTTTTATTGCATATATATATATATATATATATATATATATATATATATATATAATATATATATATGTATATATTGACTGCACAGGTTGGTTTGGTAGTCCGGTCTAGCCTCGTTACTACTTCGCCGGGGTTAGGCCAGGCACTTACCAGCACATGGGGTCGGTTGTGCTGATGCTACACTTCGTGTGCTCTTTTGCACAGATCACGGTACCGGAGAAGCTTTTGGACCACTGCAGTAGGATATTGATCGGGAGCTGACTTCAGTCCAGGGACTTACGAGGTAGCCTAGCTGGCGTTCGCAGGCCGGAGTCCCTTTCTATGTTTTCAGTTTGTCTTCATTGTACCGAGACAGACATTTAGGCATTTTCTATTCAGACTTGTTTGTAGCACTCTTTAGTAGTTCGTGAGATAGCGACTCCAGTCTTGGGTAGAAATATTAAACTTCCGCATTTTGGGTTTTCAGTTATTATGTTCCTTTTTTTTAAAGACTTCCGCATTTATTTAAAGACTCGTTGTTTTATTATTGTTGTGTTGTCATCCGAAAATGTTTAAATGTTTGGCTTGCCTAGCTCCGTTAGTAGGCGCCATCACGACTCCCGAGGGTGGGAAATCCGGGTCGTGACAATAAATCATAGCATTTAACATCCCAAATGCACGAAACAAATGTAAAATATGAGGCGATATATATAGAAATATATATGCTTTAAGCTAAACATCAGTAGTATAAAAAGAAAATATTAGAATCCTTCAAATTAATGTGTGTAAAGTTTTTTTAAGGAATTAATCCAAATAGTTGTCTACCCAACCGCTTAAACTAAAAATAGCCGGTGGAGGTATAATATATGTATAATTTATGTATTATAAGTGTATAAATATGTATACTAAATGTATAAACTATGTATATGGCTAGAAAAAGTAAATAAATGAATATAACCGGCTATTTGTGTAAAGATCCTTGACTTCTTATTGAATAAGTCAAGCAAAAGCATATATGGATTTTTCAGCGCTGGGCTTGACTATTGGGCTTCTTCGGCAAGCTAAAGATATGGGAGAAAATAAAAAATAGCGAGACTTACAAGTGATCATTCAAAAATAGCCACAGTTTCAAAAGTAATCGAAATTTAGCCACTTCTTATGTAAAGATAAATCTGAACGAAAATACTATTCAAAATACGGATAATACTCCAGTATATTATACTGGAGTTCTAGCATAAGTATACTAGAACTTCAGTATAATATACTGGAGTTATACTGGAACTTTCCGCGCATTGGAGTTCCAGCATAATATGCTGGAAGTTCATACACAAGTGCACCGATCTCCAGTATATTATGCTGGAACTTTCCGTGTTGCAGCAAAATGGTAGTTATTTTTCAATGACTTTGCAAACGTTGACTATTTTTGAATGACCAGCCCGAATACTGGCTAGCCCATGCTATTTTTACTAAAGATATGGATTTTACTGGGCGGACTTTGAGCTGAGAAATTTGAAGTGCTAGAAGCCTAGAGTGATTGACAGGAATGGCCCCATAAGGAGCTGGTCTTAGCCGAATGTCCCCAACTTGGCGCTATTTAAATTATAGCCCCTGACCTGCACACAATTATCAGCATTTCTCTACTGGATTGGTAGAGTTTATGCTATATTTACTCTACAAGATGTGTATTCAATTCCACTAAATCTTAGCATTTGGTACTTCAATGTTAACCTTGAAGATCAAACCATTAATGTCTCCTCAACAACCATCATTCTTCTAAACAAGTGATCAAATGAGAAAAAGATTTATCTTATATCCACCAACAGTGTAAATGAATTTTTACACAACCAGTAAAATTTAACATACTATAGAAGGTTACTTGCCTTATTTTCAGTTTACTAAATTCCACTAATTAAGGGTAGATGCACAGATAGATATAGACCTATGTTGCACGGACTCTCCAAAATGTTGCCGCACTTGTGTCGGATCCTTCAAATATGCACTACTTTTGGAATCCGACACACATCCGGCGATATTTACGGAGAGTTCGAGCAACATAGATATAGACAGAGAGGGAAAGAGAGGGAGAATAAATGACTGACAACATTTACATATCTTATTATTGAAGCTTGGGAGACTCAAGCACTAAGAATACAGAGAAGAATAACATAGTATACCTACAAAGGCTAGAATACTCTTGGATATTATGAATATGTAACTCAAAATAGTAGTTAATTTCCCAGTACACTAAAATACACTTAAGACAAAGAAACTTAAAATCCTGGTGCCCATTTTCAAATCTAAATTTGGTCTTCTACTCTAACATATATCAGAAAGCTAGAGCCTAGACACCTGAATTTCCATTTCTCATTGCTTGTAGGAACGTAATTTGCAGCGAGACTACTGTAGATTTTCAACGATTTTTGCATTTCTCTATGGCTCGTGGAGCTGCAGGAAATGAACATACTGCATGTTATATGTCATATAGTATAATACAAGATTCATTTTGCATTGCTCAGTTTGCGACATTTACCTTGAGAAAGTAGTCTTTATACTAGATAAATTTCACGCGCATTTTTTCAGATGAAACAGATTTCATGCAATGAAATAGAGTGTCTAATAACAGCAAAATGTAATTACCTAAACCATTTGCATCTGAACTCTTCATGATCCTCAGCTTTTTGCAAGACTCTGTAAACATCCTACAAACACCGAGTATGACAAATATAATTTACATAGTAAAAATAGGTTAAAGATTCTGGTAGAGGAGAAAATAGCACCAAAAGTATTCAGAATGCTACAGAATCTACTAGTTCAAACATAACAGCATCACAAATGTCACCTAAATAAAATAAACAAAAAAGTCGGACATAAAACTTGCATGATTTCCAGTAGAATATATGCTATGTCCGTCCTAGATATTAGTGTTCATCACTAAGTCGTAACCTGTCCACTTGAGTAGAAATAGGGCAGGTTGACGGAAATGTTCGATTAATGAACAATTAAACTCTCTTGAAATATATCTTAAGACTCGATGAGATCTTCACGGACAGAAAAATATAGGTTAACTTTGATAATAAATTTATGAAGTTTGAGAGGCAAAGTATGAATTGTAGTGTGCACAGGGGTTTACAATTTACACCAATTCTCCATCTTCTAGACAGGTTCAAAATCAGATTAATGCATTAGAGCTCTAATGAACTAACCTGTTTGCGAGCTATAAGAAACTTTTCAGGAAACTTTTAGGATTCAAGATTCGTTGTCAGACTTAAAGATTAGATGTCAGACTTACTTCCATGGGACATCGCCGACAAGCATCCAATCACCATCCTTGTCTTCGTAAGTAAGAACGTATTCAGATCCGTGTAGAAGATCCACCAATTTGCTTTCGTTTAGTCCATCACTGCTAGAAATGCCTTGAGTTCCACATTGACCTAAATAAATTATAGATAAAGGTCAAAACTAACAGCCCTTAATGCAGAAGAAAAAGAAAACTCATGTTAGTAGGATGTAGCGGAACTTGGTTTCTGTATAATACTATTCTTTCGATCAAAACTGCATATAAATGATACCAACAATTTTACTCAGCTATAGATTTCCACCTTTTTTAAGCACATTATCTTTCTTTAGGCTGCAAAAGAACAACTTTTTAGGATTTGCAAGCAATTAAAAACATACACATCCCAACCCAAGCGGCATATTTAGCTGCTTTTAAGGGCTTAAATCCTTGATCAAGATAAAGAATATTGAAATTTCAGATAACTAAAAAGAATATATTTTCAACAACAGAAGGTATCAATTTGAGTTTGAGCTTTTTAAAGTCAGTTCAGTGACAGCATATAACAATTAGTCCTCTAAAACAAACAAAGGGCAGCCCGGTGCACTAAGCTCCCGCTATGCGCGGGGTCCGGGGAAGGGCCGGACCACAAGGTCTATTGTACGCAGTCTACCCTACATTTCTGCAAGAGGTTGTTTCCACGGCCCGTGACATTCTGGTCATATGGAAACAACTTTACCGGTTACGCTAAGGCTCCCCTTCAACAATTGATCCTCTAGAAGATGGAAAATTCAGTACAACGAACTATCTGGAAGTAGATAACTAAATTTATCCAGTCAAAAGCTTCTCATCAGACTACCATCACATTTCATACAAGAACAATATCACAAAGCGCTCTCCCTCACCGGTAAAAGTCATAACAAACAAAAACCAATAATTAACATGTAATGCTCTCATAAAACATTACCATCTTTGAAGCAACTGAACATTTTCTCCAATGCTGAAGAAAGATCATTATAGCTGTTGTAGATTGTAAGATCAACCTTCCTCAAGTATGGGGCACCATCCATGCTAACTTTGACATAATGACAACCTGCTAATAGCTTACCATTTGCATCTTCCTCGGTCTTTGGAGGATTATTACTAACCATATTCTTTCTAAAAGATCGAATCGGTGGCCATCCTACTACTTGTGCCCTGACCAGATAATAAAAGAAGCTTCAATTCATTTGTTGTTCTAATTATCTTGCTTCTTAAGGTCAAAACTGAATAGCTAGATGCATATTAGAGCAAAGATTAAGACCAGCGGCAGGGCGGATTACATGTCAACCAAACAAAGAGAAAAGAGATAACAGTATAACCAATTTATCAGAGATTCAATTAAAGCCATGGCTACTATAAATCACAGGATTACAACAACAACTATGCGTCAAATCCAAGCGAGTTGGGGTCGACTATATGAATACTCACTAACCATGTTGCTCCATGTTAAGCTCATCTAAAACCAATACTAATACCAAACATAAAAATAGAAATAAAAACTACTAGAGGATTGTGATAGCATAATAGTAGTCAAAATTTTCTGATGAATCCTCACAAAGGCAGCTCGGTGCACTAAGCTCCCTCCGTAGAAGGGCCGGACCACATTGGGTGTGATGTACGCAGCCTTCCCTTGCATTTCTACAAGAGGCTGTTTTCGAAACTTGAACCCTGACCTCCTGATCACACAGTGACAACTTTGGTCACACGACGGCAACTTTTGCGCCAAGGCTCCCCTTCTATGTTGAATCCTCACAATACAAAATAAATCATAGTATTCTCCAACAATAAAATTGTGATGCTTAAAGGTTGAGCAAGTAAAACAAAAGAAAAATTTTGGACACAATCCTCAAAACTATACTCTAATGGATCAACCAAAAACAGTTTCTACACTGAAGATAAGGAAACAATAAGTCTAAGCAGGAAATTAAAGACATACAAAACACTAATCATACTATGCTATATAGTTATAAGGTAAGGTAAAAAAAGATTACTTTGCAGCTGGAGCAACCCCATGACCATTATTACTAGAACTCATAGCCTTTTTCTCTTGAACTGATTTTGGTGATTTTGGAGCAGCCTCTTTCACAGCATTAGAACCAAGAATCTTGGTTCCCACTTTAACACCTTTAGGAGAGTTAATAAAGCCACAATCTTTACCCAAATTAACCTCAGAATCAAAACCCCATGTCCCAGAATTACCATTTATAGTGTCACAAAACACCCTTTTGGCTCCAGAAGGAAAAAATTTCAAATCTTTAACTCCATTGCTATTGTCTCTCTTTGGTGATTCAGAACCAGGTAAACCTAGCCTTAGTTCAGTGGCTTTAAAGTTCAAGTCTTTACTTTTCTTTTCACTTTCCATTGAAGAAACATGGTTCTCTATTGGTATTGACATAAAAATTCAAGAAATGTGTTAGTGAATTATGTGTAAAGAACTACTGAGAATAAAGAATGAGAGTGTGCTTTTTCTGTAGCTTTTTATAATTTTATACAATGATGGATGGTATGTCTTATTTCTCACTTACACGAAAAAAAAACAAATACAGTTTCTCTTTTCACTGTAACAGAAAGAGATAGAACTGAAGAGGAATAATGGAATTACAATTGTTGCAAGAAAAGCCGTGAAAAGAGGGACAAAACTTGCACAGTTAAAAAGTGCCTTCTCTTTCTTGCTTTATTTAAACCTTTTTTAATCTCTAGAGTGTTAGTGTAGGGTCAAACCATATTTGGGTGGCAAACGGGCGGGTGGGGTTGGATATGGTTCGGGTCGAATCGTAATGAAAAACGGATAAATTATCCGACCCGACTCATATTTAATACGGATAAAAATCGGGTTAACCGGCAAATAATATGGATAACCATATTATCTATGACTTCTTGCATATGACCACTTTTGAGAGAATTCTTAGTCTGCATAACTTGAGGAACCCCCAATTTGACGCTTTACAAATGTAAAAGTCAGACACATTGGTTATCCAAGAGTTACTCATTGGTTATCCATTTTCTAAATGGATAATATGGTTCTTATCAATATTTGACCCGTTTTTAAAAAGTTTATTATCCAACCCATTTTTTAGTGGATAATATGGGTGGTTAACTGTTTTCTTTTAACCATTTTGCCACTCCTATTTGGGTCTATAACAATCAAATAGTTATCCACATGTTCTCTTAAACTAAAAATCATCGATGTATAATCTATATATACCGACTAAAAAAAAAAAAATATTGCATCTGGCCGACTATTTGTGCAATAATCCCTATTTCAATAGTAAAAGATTATTTTACCGTTTAATTCATGACTTCTTAATCATATAGTAACAATAATTGCTATTGCTAAAAAACTTCCCTCTGATTTATTATCCTAACAATAATTTAAATTATTTTTGTTAGTTAAATCTCAATTATTAATATCAATATGACACTTGTTATTCATCCAAGTAAAAAATTTGAAAAATAGAAAAAAGAAGAAAAGGAAAGGAGTCGGATCCGATATATATTATTAAAACCAAAAAAACATGTGATCTTAAACAAATTTCTGAAATAATACAATTTTCTTATGACATAAAGGGAATAAGTTTGGTTCATTTTAGTAAATAAAATTTATTTTTAAAAAGTCATTTAGAACCTTTTTTTTTTAAAATATATTATTGTTATTCTAATAGTCGAGTGTTTATTAAGAAAAAAGTTTAAAGGTAAAAAAGTGATAATTTAGACACTCATTCTTATGATTGAGACAATAACATTTTTTTTAAGAGCTACACAAGATCAAGAAAGAAAAAATAATATGAAATTGATCGAGAATTTCTTTTTATTTTTATTTTCTTGAATAATGGACCATTTTAGTGTGTCCAAAAAATAAACAAATGTCCCGCTCATCAGCATGGTCGCACTTTTCTCAGAAAAAACTCATTTTATCTATCCCTCTCTCAGAAAAAGTTATTATTAATTCGCCTAATTAATAGGGAAAACTGCATATACCTAAAATACAGGGTCTGGTTTTAGGGAGACAAGACGGCGTTATGTTGTTAATTCAGAGAAAAAATACAAACTTTTAGGAACTCAAGAATGCAATTAAAATGTCAGTAACTAGTTAGTGGATTTGTGTACTTGCACTTGATATTATGTTCCCTCCAGTTCATAATAAGTTATATTTTGGTGAAAATAGCACATGCTAGCTAGTTTTTAAATTGGAAATTGAAAAAAAGTCAACATTTGCACAGTTATTGAAAAATAATAACTATTTTGCTGCAACACGGAAAGTTCCAACATAATATACTGGAGATTGGTGCACCAGTGTATGAACTTTTAGCATATTATGCTGGAATTCCAGCATACTTGAGATTGGAGCACATGTGTATGAACTTCCAGCATATTATGCTGGAATTCCAGCATATTATGTTGGAACTCCAGTATATTATACTGGAAGTTCACATGTAAAAAATTTGAACTCCAGTATATATGCTGGAATATTTTTCGGATTTTGAACAGTATTTTCGTTCAGATTTATCTTTACATAAAAAGTGGCTAAATTTCGATTACTTTTGAAACTGTGGCTATTTTTCAATTACCACTAGTAAATCCGGCTATTTTTGAATTTCATCCGACCTTTTGGCTTTTTTGTTTTGTCCAAAATAAGTGTCCTTTTACATAATAAGAAGAAACTAATTTTATTTTTTCAAAATTTGCTCTTATTTACATATCTCAGTGTGTCAAGGTAATAATTAATTAAGGGTAATTTAATGAATATATTTTTTTCTCTAGGAGTTCATATTTTCTTAAGGGGTATGTCAAAATTAAAAAGTCACTTATTATGGGCCGGAGGGAGTAATATCTATGTAATTTGCAGAAGAACAAATTTCTTGGATATTTGCCAATTGAGTAAGAGAAGGTGAAGTTCATATTTTTATTTTCTTTGCGATATTCGATATTCGCATTGCGATCCTGACAAATAAAATTCATATGACGTCCATTAAAGAAAAAAATGCTCTCTATCAGAATTTTTTTAATTACATTCTTCCTCCTATCACAACCCTAGGTGGTATTAGATAGGTACTTATTAACCTGTGAATTCAGTACTAGTCAAACAAAAATTGATAATCTTTTGAGCAAGACAAGTACTTGTCGTCACATTGAAAAACTATAAAGTAAATTATGCAAAAGGAAAGGGTTAAGGTGCATTTGTCACATTGGTACACAAACTTATGTTAGTGATGCATTCATAACCTTGGAAATTGACAATTCATGTTGTTTCTATCACACTCTTCAAATCTTCAAAATGCTTGGTGTGAATCCATTATATGCATTTATTAGTACCTTTCAAGAATTATACTCCACAAATTAGGTGAAGAAATGTTTTATTTTTGAATTTTAGTGAGACTAGTCTTAGGATACGCTACACTATCTCAATAAAAAAAATATTATATAAATAATATATTAAAATATCATATTTGAGTGATAAAATAAAAGTAATATTCCCTAAACTGATGAATCTTCATACAAGTTTTCAATCATCATTCAATAAACTTAATTAAAATTTTATTTCAATTTTTTATTCAACAACAACAACAACAATAACAACCCGGTAAAATCACACCAGTGGGGTCTAGGGAGGGTAGAGTGTACGCAGACCTTACCCCTACCCTAAGGGGAACTTTTTTTTTTTTATTCAATTACTTTAAATTCAAAAGCTTTATTCCAATTTCAGCAATCACATATAATTCCTTGAAAACTTAAGAATTGAATTTTTTGTTTGAAAAGTTATTGACAAGTTCATTTTAGAAGGCTCAAGAAAGATTATCAAATTGATATAAATAATAATTTTTTTCAAGAGTAATGTTACACCCCATATTTACGTGCGTGAAATTATGCCATAAATAAATTGATAAAATCTCGGAAATGAGATGTTGCATCCTGCATTTTTGTATGTCAAAAAGTCTCATCGTAAGTTAATCAACGTAAGCGCGGGAATGAGATTATTTTGAGATTATATGTATTATGCTATGTTAAACAAGGGAAAAGTAAATTCTTGAAGGTGAAAGGGTAAGCAAATCGAAGAAAATGAGTTTCGTCGAAAGTTGTCATTTTGGAGAAAAAATACGATCCGAGCTCTAATACCCGGTATTTATGGACTAGTACCATGCAAGGTACCACATGACCATGATAGTAAGGTGTTTAAAGTATGTTAAAAGTGAGTAGTATTTTAAATAATTTGAGATAATTGATTAATTATTGAATTAGTAAAAAATTATCAAGTTAATGAAGAAATTGATAATTAATAATGATTTGGATAAGTCTTAAGCTTTATGTGGAAGCCATGCAAAGCCCATATGATGACAATTCATTTCTAAGCTAGGTGGCATGTTTAGTAGAATGGGTGGCTTACAAGGATTTCTATGTATTAACTAAGAGAAAATTGCATAAATTTGCAAAAAGAGCTTACGGGTAAAGCTTCACATTTCAAGACTTTCTTGTTTAACCAAAAAATAGAATTTTAGTCAAAGTTAGAATTTAGAAGAACTCAGGTTACTGATAATCAAAGAAATGAATAAAAGGAAATAATTCTGAGTAGCAATATAATAACCAAGAAAAACAAGTGATACCAATGTATATTTCAATAGCTTTTTTTTTGTGTCCCCTCCAACTGACCACATATCTCCTTTTTATAAGTACCCTTGAGATTGTACGTTATGCCCAAATCATAATGAGGTTATTATGAATAATTAAAGACATTGAATGCTACGTTACACAATCATTACATTGAATATATATATTCCTTAACGGACTCAGCATTTAATACCCATTAAATGTTGTATCTGCACGCTTTTTATAACCAGATTCATTCCTTCTGATGCCCGAATATAAATGATTTAAGTAGGCACGGGCGCCGTGCTACTTATCTGATGTCTCGTGCCTCTTCCTCCTTCTTTCCTCGTGTCTGTTTTACAACTCTTGAATCGTGCCTAATTATGATTCATTGATCATTTGACCAATCCACGTGTACTGACACGTCTCCTTAGATGTAAAATATAACTTTCCCCAATACAGATAGTCCCCCCACTTTCCATTTATTCATTAGTTTGAATATTTGGGAAGTGGAATTCATTTAAAAGAGAAGTTTTGTCACCATTAATGCTCTGACAGAATTGACGCTTCAATTGTCACTTCCATTTAATGCATTAGACACGTGTCATCCTCTTATTGGTTCTTTAGTTTTGCAGCACTTTCTTAGGCTTTCTTTTCGGCTTCCCTATTCACGAAGTGTCAGTTAACATTATTATAGCTCTTCCATCATTGTACTTTTTCCTTTTGCCGGTTACCCATTAGTATAAATATAGCTTCTTTACTTGTCTTTTACCACATAAAGCGTGTCAAACACTTTAATTCTTCGAAAACCTCTTATTCTCTTCTGCTCTACTTCAATCTTCTTTGTCATGGCTTCGCCAAACCCTAACCCTAGGAGAACCCCCATTTTAGACAACTTCCCTAATGCTCTTGTTAGACATAGAAGAGGGGGTAGACTCCGTAGCTTGGGGTATGCTCGTGGTGGTAGCACATCCACTCCTTCTTCTAGCTCGGGTCCTTCTTCTAGAACTAGAGGTTCCCTTTCTCAGAGGT